CATGAACATGTGCCATTTTCCATTTTTACAAAAACAATAAATAAATATTTTCTTTTTAGAAAAAGAAGGATGCAAATATGCCATGTAGTTAAGGAAGTTGACTCTGGGTTGTGGGAGTGTAGGTATTTTTTTCTTTGTGCTATTCTGTACAGTTGAGGAATAAATGAGAGATGGAAACTGGACCTTCAGTCACGACTAAACAAATTTAAAATGATCTGAAAATCTCTGCCATTCCTCCCATTGAGAGGTACAGATTTACCCTCTGCTCATTCTTGGTCTGGTCCTGTGACCTGTCCTGACTAACAGAATGTGGTGGAAAACACTGTCCCTCCCAGCTCCAACCTTAAGGGAAGCACTAGTTCTGCTTTCAGCTCCGATAAATCCCCCTCTTCCACACCAGCCACCATGTAAAGAATCTGACTACTCTGATAAAGACAGAGGCCTAGGAAAGCCTGTAACCATTTCAGATGCTCCAATCAAGCTTCCTCCTCACTGCATAAGTTTTTCTTTTTTGTACTAGGGCTCGAACTCGGGAACTTGTGTTTGCAAATAAGCTTCCTCCTACTTAACACCATAAGGCATTGTAGGTGTGAGCAGAACAACTACCCAGCTGCTCCTGCTGAAATTCCTGAGTCCAAGAATTACAAACATATAGCACATGGGTTGGGGATTTAGCTCAGTGGGTCCACCGCCTGCCTCACAAGCACAAGGTACCTAGTACTATCCCTGGTACAAAAAAACAATCTTAAATAAGACGATCTATGTATCTATCTATCTATCTATCTATCTATCCATCTATCTATCTATCTATCTCATAGCTGTTGCTCTAAGCCACCAAGTTTCAGGGTGTTTTTGTATGCAAGATATAATTCATTTCATAAACTTCACTTTGATTTTAGAAATTAGCTAAGTAGTAAATAAGTGACAAAGAAGATTTTATTGCTTCTTATTGCAGAAGTAGTTATATTTTAAATATATATAAAAATAAGAAAAATCACCACTCAGAGATATTTACTAGTAAAATTTTGATACATGATTGCAGTCTTTTTTCTCTTGATAATACTTTTATTTTAAAAAAGAGCTTTTATGTAATGCTTTGTAACCATCATTTTAATGGAAAAATAACTCACGAGCATTCTCAGCATGCTTATCATCTTTAGTAGAGCACAATCTTTAGTTTTCTTGAGATGGTGAATGATACAGATAGGGTATTGAGAATGCTGGCAGCACAGGTGTCTTGCACATAACAGGAACTCAATAAATAGTTAATTGAATATATTATCTTGCTGAATGAATGGTAGGACAAGCATCTTCTTGACTAGCTAAAGCTCAGTGCAACTCCTTAATCATCACCTTAGGGCAAATTCTGGAAATAGGTCAAAGACTAGGCATGTCTCTCAGGCAATTTAATAATGATAGGCATTGCCAAATTATCCTCCAAAAATGTTTCATCAAGTTACATTGCATAGACTAGTGCTCTTTCAGTGGATTTTAGTAGACTACCTTATACCTCAAGTACTCTCTAAAGCATTACTTCAATATCTACAGAAACAACGTAAGTTCCAATTCCACTGACCATTAGCATGAGAGAGCTCAGCTCATCATCGATCTGAAGGTGAAGTGAAGTATGATTTACAATTAACCATGCAGTCTGTTTTTATGGCACTATTGATTGTATCTACAGACAAATGTATTTTGTTCCAGAAAATTGAGCCATTGAGCCTTATGGTGACTGTACCTTTCTGACTATCTGTGTCTATTCAAGTTCTGTATTGTACAAAATATTCATATATAATTATAATGTTCCACAATTTGTATATCATTCAGACAGATAAAACTGTAAAGTATGGATCTCCAGTTTTATTTGGGCACTTGAACTTTTGACTCATTTTCAAAATGCACAGGATACTGAGGTACAGTTTAGGGTCTTAAGGAAGACAGACTGTGATGAACTGGTTCCCCCAGTTGTTAAGTATTTTGTCTTGGACTGGTTATTTAACCTCAGAGCCTCCACTTCCCCATTTGTAAGATCAAGATGATAGAAATACTTCCTCATAAAGATCACCATCAGGGCAGGGGAAGTCAAGGTGGGAAAATGGCAAGTGGGAAGGTATGAAAGGAGCCTGAAAATCCACAGCATGATAGAGCTGTTGGAGAAATGGAAGGCACTGTTCATGTAGTGGGGGTGAGAAGCCATTAGCTGAAGACCTTCTGACAAAGCCTAAAAGGTCTCCAAGTTTGAATTTGCCACAGGTGACAGGTAGTAATCAGGTGACAAATCAACCATATCTACCAAACATGGATCTAACTGTTGCTTCAAAAACTCTTAGTGATTTTAGGGAAAAGGAAGTTAGTGAACCAGTAGAAATGTTCCTGGAAGCAAAGTTGAGGAAGAATAGTGGAATATATAACACTGGGCCACGCTTCTTCAATAGAGGAAAGCATGGGTTTTCTGGTGGCCAGAAGCTATGACAGTGAAATAAAAACCTCAACTTAAAAGTGTCCAAGATCAAGAGAGGTATATGATACATTGTGAAACTGGGGGGTATGGGTAGGTATAAAGTTAAAAGGAAGTTTCATTTTAAAAATAATAACATAAGACTATCTTTGATTTTGTTTTTCTTCTCTAAAGACAGAGTGGACTCAGAAAGCTGGGGATTTAGCTCAGTGGTGCTGCCACCTGCCTCACAAAGGCAAGGTCCCGAGTTCGATCCCTGTTATAAAAAAAAAAATTAACTTATGTTGCCAGGGATATAGCTCAGTGGCACTGCATCTATATGGCAAGCACAAAGTCCTGAGTTCAATCTCCAGTACTGTGGGGGGGAGGTCATTTATGTTTTACGTGCATATTTTAAGACATTTGCTAATTTTGTTTCATGTGATTAGTTTTCAAAAGTCACAGGTAACAGAGAAGTTTGAGAAGGAAAAAAATTATTATTTAAGTCTTAATTAAATGAGATAATGGAACACAAGATGAATGAAAATGTTCAGTGAAAACCTGGTATGTAGTACATGCTGAATAAATACCAGCAGGCAGGGCTGGCAGTGGTAAAGTACTTGCCTAACCAAAAAAAAAAAAAAAAAAAAAAAAAAAGAAACAAAGCACAACTCATTCACTTTAACATAATCTAACTGAGTGAAAAAAACCTGAACTATATCTTAACTATAACTTAGATTCTCCATTTTCAGGTGACATATAGCACATATTCTTTGAATTGTACAATTATTACTGTGTGCATTTTATTAAAAAATTACAAGAGTATTTTTTTCATTAATAAAACTGGTGGTTTTGTTATTGTTTTCTTATGCCATAAGGTGTGTTCAGATATAGCAAACAAAGTTGGTTCTTGTTGGGTTGGTCTCCTAGCTAATTTTGTCCATTATAAGTCATTAGGGAAACAAGAATGACATGCCACATTGTAGTAGGATGGCTGCAACTAAAAAGATAGAAAATAATAGTTGTTGGCCATAAACTGCCATCTTTTAAATTCAGTCTTTGTGATTTTTGGCTTTCTCTAAAATTTTTTCAACAGGTAAAGTGGATTAAAAATGTAAGAATAAATAAATATAGGCAATTATATTAATAGTCCTTTCAAGTTTTTTAAATCTTTAAAAAAATATTAGAATTACGTCGTTAAAGAGTAACCAAATTTATATTTCCCCCTTGCTTATACAGTGGGATTCAATTATTTATTTAAAATTTGGAAATTAATTACCATTTGATATTTGAATATAAATGGAAAAGAAATTCACTTAAAATGAAACCTTTATATAACTGAAACAATTTTTTAAAAGTATGCAACTCAGTTTAGGCAAAAGTCATATAGATCAACAGGCACTTCCGGTGCATTTGTAAGTGAAAAAGCCTTGAAAGATATTTTTAAATTACCAGAATATGAAAAAGAAATATCTTTTATTTTATTTTATTTTGTTTGTCTCACAACACATGCAGGGAAAAAAGCTCAGTCCTCATGTGTAAAGGGAGGAGTGTTGGTATAATGACCTTGAAGGTTTTGTCCATCCCTTCAGGCTTTGTATTTTATTCAATATTGTGCAGGCTTCAAGGGTATGTGTACAATAAAAGCAACTCACATGAACATTGACTTTTCCCTAAATTACTCAGATTGCCTACAATAGGCTATAGAAAAGGAAGGTAGAGAAGTTAGGCAGAAAAAAGGCAGTGATAAAACTCAAATTTCCCTTTTATTTTTCTTTGCTCTGCATGATTACTCTACATGCTTTAAGTATTGTTATAGTAAAGTCACTGAAAAATAATCTTTTGCTAGAAATTCTTTAAAATTCTTTGTTCTCTTTCAAGCCGTATTTATAAAGGTTTCCAGATGCTTATCCTCACAGATTAAACACGGCATGATGTAGACACTTACAATAATATCCACTGCTATGAAGCCAAGCAAAAACTACTTTGAGATCTAACTGCCTATCACCTAAAGAATCAGGTTCAGGGAATTTTTTGTTGCTATTAAGGTGTGATTCTCAGAAGCCATTTGAAAACAACCTAAATTCTCAGCAGCAGCAATGGACCCTGTACTATGTCGAAGCACATCAAATGGCTGGCATTCCAAGCCTCCTCATTATGTGAATACATAATGAAAGGGTGTGGGCAAAGAGCAGAATGTAAATTGGAAGCTGACTTCTGAATGTGTTAGGCAGCAGTCCTAAGCTGAAACAGTCATCCTCATTTTAAGAGACAATTCCAAAGTGGTTCTCAAGAGAAAGGACAAGGTATTTTTGAAATATCTCTTCAATGTGAATGGACTGGCTTTGCCAAAAATGACTTTTTATTCTGGCATGCGATCTCTTAGAGGGAAGTCAGCCTGAGTCACTGGATACATCAAAAGTAGAGTCCAGTGAATGGGATTACTGAAGGCTGTATGAGCGAGCCAGATACCTGCATTCATCTGCCCACTGCTGGGATTTCAGCCTCCTTTTAATTACATTAAAGCAGCTGGTAACACTGGTTACTGAAGTCCTCAGATTACCTTGATTGCCCGGTCATTATCTCTAATCAGCTGCTTCTTCTCATCTTCAAACTTCTGTATAAGATCCTGTAGCCGCCTCTCTGCAGCAAGCTGCTGCCGGCTGCTCTCTTCTTTCAGAGAGGAAATAGTTGTCTGAAGTTCTGCTATGATCTAAAATGAAAACAGCATGCTATTACTGCAAATTCTTCAGTGAGAAGCATCTATTTTACATGTATTTATGCTTAACAAAAGAATGGATTGGGCAAAACTCTATTCCACAAACTAAATATTTTAAATTAACATATCATACACATAATGCATGAAATTCCACATGATAAAAAGACTAATAAAACTGAATGGTGAACAACTGCTGAACCAAATATATTTGGAAGACATTTCCACTATCACATTCCACAATATTTACTCATCAGAAGAAAGAACATCTGTGATCTCAAAAATATGAAAAGCATCAGATTTTATTTTACTGAGAAATATATTTACTACAGTGAGAAATGCACTTCTGCCTGTCATAAGACTTTCAACTGTAATAATAAAAGAAAATAATGAACAGAGTTCATTCCTCAGGGTTACCTAACTCTACACAGTTATTTTTGGGCATTCATTAATGTTTGTGTACTATGTTAAGCACTTTAAATTCGTATGTTATTTACTACTGTGAGAAAGTATTATTATTACCTCTCTTGTGAAAGTAAGGAAACAGAGGCACAGAGAGAGGTCAAGTATTTCACATCATGGAAGATGACATGCAGCTAAGGAGACAGGAAGGGTCTGAATCACGCAGTCGGATCCATCTCTACACTAGTGGGTTCCTCTAACTAGCTGACTTTGTATTTTCTTTTAAACAAGACTTTAATGAAGAGAAGATTTTAATTCCTAATACATTGCCTTTCTAACTGACGCATTTATTTCGGTTCGAACAGTGCCATTTCAGACTCTGGTGGCCTCTTCCCTACATCGTCCCTCCAGGACAGATTTTCCTCCACCTGCTCAAATTAACTCTGTGAGGAGGAACTGTGACTTTCAGCCAGCCCAGCAAAAGCACTACCCTTCCTTTGGTTTGGATGAAACCGATTTCCTTTCAAATTCAATAGTGATGACTTTAAAAGCGGGAAATGGTTGTTTCTTCTAATAAAAGTATGAGTCCTGTGTTAGAATAAGATTCTGTTGGTTCTACAAGAAAGGAGCCAGTTAGTGAGAAGCGCTAGACTAATTAGTTGTCTTTCTTGAGCTTAGTTTATTCAACTATTATTTGGTACAACACCAAATTACAGAATCGTAAGATAATAAACTGAAACTATGTCAAGGTTCCCACAAGCCAAGGCCCAGTGACATATTGGTTATTAATATTGATGTAAAAATAGTATCCTTACAATAAAATATGGAGTATCTATGGTCTTAGAAGTACACAAACAGCATAAATAACTGAACATTTAGAACTTGCAAATAATCAAATATTAACCTATGTAAAATGATAAAATACAGAATAGCAGTAAGTTAATATTCAATACAAATAAGGACTTCCTACTATGAGTGGAAGAATTTATTTACTGAGAATAGGTCATCTATTTTTCTGAATATTGGTTAAATGTTTCAATTCTGGCACCAATTCAATTAATTATCACAGCATTTTTGTGAATTGGGAAAGGTTAAATTGCTATGGTCAATGTTAAATACTGAAGCACAGACTAATCAATTCCCAGTCACCAAGCCAGAGAAGGTAAGGATAAGAAAGAGCTAATTTTCTTTGGTTTAAAAAATAAATTTAAGGGCCAGGGATTTAGCTCAGTGGTGCTGCACCTACCACGTAAGTGCAAGGTCCTGAGTTTGATACCCAGTACCAAAATTTTTTTTAATTGATACTTTATAACACAGATTCATACAGTAAAAAATAACAATATTTAACTGTTTAAAAATGAATAAACCATAACTTTGCAGAAGTGGTAGGTTTAATTCTACAGGATGTGTGTTTATGTCTAAACAATTTTTAGCACATGTATAAATTCATATATCCCAACTACAGTTATGAAATTTATTCTTAAAGTACAAAAATCATCTTTTTCTTAAAAAAACAAACAAAAAAACTAGGATTGAGCTGGGGATTTAGCTCAGTGGTTTTGCCACCTGCCTTGCAAGTGCAATGGGGGCCCGAGTTCGATCCCTGGTACCAAAACAAAAAACAAACAACAACAACAACAACAACAACAACAACAAACTAGGATTAAGATTAGCATAAATGACCAAAGACTGATGATAAAAAAATATCTGGGGGTATCTCAAATGATCACAAGGGTCTGAAACAGGTATATCTCTCATTTTCGGAAAATTTAGGGCAAGAGTACGTAAAGAGAAGCAAATGCAGATTTTGGAAAAAATTACAAGAGAAGTCCAGGATGTTCTGAGGAGGGCATGCTTGCTTTTGCATGGAAAATGAAACCTTACCTTCTTTAGAGGAATAATGAGATTCCTATGGAGAAAATAATGAGAGTATATTTGGAAATCTATTTTTAAAGCTTGGAAAACTTATGAAAGTGACATAAGGGAAAGAATGTAAAAACACTTCAGCAGGTAAAATACCCTGGCTAGACAAATTGGACATAGACAGGTAGCAAAAATAAAGGTGATTAAAAAAATAGGATTTAATGTTTACTTGCAGATTGAGAAATAATGATAAGAATCAGATTAACACATATGCCTTAGATAGGGAACAAAGAGTGGCACTATAGGTTTGTTAGCTGTAGATGTTGAGTATAAGAAAATGGATTATTATATGTTGTATAAGAAATGGTATCAGCACAAAGGGGTATAATCAGCGCTCGATATTTAAGAATGAACTATAATCATGGTAAACAGGAAAAAAAATCATCACCTGTCAAGGTATACTGAGATAATCTAGCCTTTACACACACAATAGTAATGCGAAGTTTCTGAGAAAAATGAAAGTGAATATATACAATCCTAAACAAATCTTCCAATTTTGATTAAATACAATTTAGAACAGTAAAACAAAAAAAAAAAATCACCATTCAACCGAATGTTTACCCTTTTTTTAGCTAAAGAAAAAAGTGAAATAGAACATTTTCATATAGATACAAAAAAATTAATATTTTGGCAAACAAGAGTAGTTTTGGGCCAATGGTGCAAGGAATCTAATCCAGGAAAGTAATAATGGTAATATCTGCAATGAACACTTGACATTAATGTTAGGGTTCTTACTCAAGGACTTCAAGATAACAGAATACTAAAGATTAAATTTCATCTTTAACTCATTCTGTTGTCTTTCAGATTGCAATATAGTTTGAGATTTTTCTAAAACTTAAAAAAAATGCAACAGATAAGCCAAACAATACTTAGGAAGGTTAGGTGCACACTGAAAGCCCTCGTCAAGTAAGTGAGAGAGCAGCTTCTCACTACCCTTTGCATTCTTGGTGGCCCTTGGTGAGTGACATGAAGTCAAGATGTGTGGAAATGGCATATGCCTGACTGGGTGAAACCTTCATCAGGTAGGGAAGCTAGCATGAGGCAGGGGAACCACATGTCTCAGCAGTGGGTAGGCTTGGGTGGCATCCCAGCGTGGTCCCTTCCACATTTTCAACCACACATGTTTTTGCAAAATGGCATTATCTTTCTTTAAAAAATGGTCACCAGGTAATTGAGGGGAGTAGGGAAACTGCACCAAAACTGAAAAAGTTTAACAAATAAATAATTATCTAAAAAGAACAAATCTTTGATTCTGATGGAAATGATTTCTGGGAGTGTGCCCATAGATAATGTAAATACTATCACCAGTCAGGAGGGGGGCACAGTCCTCAGGTGTGCCCGGGGGTTAGTGTACATGGCTGTTAGGTCTTACAGGTTTGATACAATCTCAGAGATTAAGTAACTTCTTTTGGAAGAGGGAAATATTTAAATAATTTTTCAAATTTAACCTGATGTATCAGTGCATTCATCACTAGTGCATTCATTTTATTACTTTTTATTTAAAAACCTGATAAACAGAGTTAAGCAAGTTTGCCTCCAGCAACACTCTCATCAGCTTGATGAGATAGGAGTTGGAGTTCTAGCGAACTAGCACTTAAAAGTGGAAAAAGTCAATCCACGGTTCTACTTTTTAATGTTCATTTAAAAACAAACAATCTTTCTTGCAACTAACTTTCACTATAGGTTAATATTGTGCAAATGCCCCTTGATGAATATAAATATCTGCAGATATATTTATATACATAAAAGTATTTATATAGATTCCAAAATGAGAAACAAAAAATATTATCAATGTAAGGTTAATATCCCTTTACGAGGACAGACTTTTATTATGTTTTTATACTCAGGATTTTTTGTCTTGTACTTTCCTATCATTTATGAAATTACAAGTATAGTGTATGATAGTTGTTACTGGTTGAGTTTTACATTTCCTTTTCCTTCATGTCTTTATCTGGGAAAATAATAAGCAACTCTATGCATCTTCAAATTTTGCAGGGAGATTTTATTAGTTCTGGATCACCCTAAAACATAATGTCTGAGGAAATAATTTCTGCTTCCTTCCAAACCTTTTAAAATTCTTTCCTCCTTCCTTCCTTTCTATCTCTATTGCAACTTTTGTATGGCTACTAAAATTGCTAACAGTTACTAAATGCTTTAGTACATACAAGGTACTGTGCTAAACACGTCTTCACCACTGTTTTACTTAATAGTTAAAACTACCTTATAAGGGAAGTACTACCTTCTAATTTGAAAAATGAAGAAACTGAATTCCAAAGAGGCAGATAAGATGGCTCAAAGTCATCCCAGTGGTACGACTGGTATTCAAAGCCCAGTCCGTGAACTCCAAAGCTTAGGCTTTCCTCTGTACTAGCTTACATTTAATTTGCTTTAATGTCACCTAATCAGGCTTCTTCATGCATTCCTTCAGATAAACTTAAGTACTCTCATTTACACCCTCATTATTCAAGCATTTTTATTAGCTACCTTATTATATCTTGCTCTCAGTTTGACTCTCCCAGTGAACATAAAGCAAAATAAGCGAGGATGTAGGTGTGTGCCAGCTGGATATTTCTCATCTTGCAGTTTAAACTTTAATTTTTGGAGCAGTAAGACTTCCTTTGAATATGAGTCTCCATGTTTCCATTTCTCCATGTTTATTCCTCAAGGATTGGAATAATGGCAATCAAGCCATAATCATCATCTCCTACATAATAAACATGTACTACTCTTCAGTTAGACAAACCGTTTCAGCTTTCCTAGTGGGATGAGGATTATATAACAAGCACATTTTAGAAATAGTTGAATTGAAGATATTCCCTGACAGACTATCACTGAAGTTTAATGTATAAAAAAATGTAAGGGATTGGGTCGGACTTCCAAAGCTAAGTTCAGTATTTCCCCTGTGAAATCAGAACCAGACCGAGTCCTGGCTTAGTCATTTGCTAACTTATGTGATCCAATCTTTCTGAGTCTCACTCTTCTCCACTGGAGAAATGGAGGCGATAACAGTTCCAAACCTAGAGTTACTGTGAATGAAGACTGAGTCAACAGACCTAGTCCCATAGCTGTTAAAGGCTACTATCATTTTATTCTTATGTTGTTGATCATGTTATGTGGTAACATAAAATAATACACAAATTTCAGTTTACATATCACTGACTACATGTGAAGATACTAAGACTTAAAAGTTATTAGACATGAAGCCTACAAAACTAAATGGCTTAATTTATCCATCTGCAAAATGAAAATAAGTAATACCTGTTTGTTCCAGGATTACCCATACAATTAAGGAATGCTTGAGATCCACTAAATTATACTGTTGGACAACACTATAACAATTTATGCAGAAAAAATACACTGAGCAACATACTTCAAGTGGAGACAACCATTCAAGCACTGGTGTTTCTCATAGTAAAAAAATTCTATAGTTAACAACACAAACTGCAAGATATAGATAAGGGTACTCATAGTATTTTCGCCCTAAAAGGAGTTAAGATTGAGCTGCCAATTTAACCTTAGAATTGTCACCTTGAAGTACGTTGATTCAACATACTTCAGTAGCCTTTAGGTGCAGTGAAATGGAATATTGCAAAAAAGCACAGATGGTATCAAACTGCTTATATCACAAATGTGGGTGTGTATCTTCTGCCCTTGTGAAATATGTTTCAGCCTGGGCTTGTTCAAGTGCACAGGCTGGTTTTACAACTTGTGTGTGTGTGTGTGTGTGTGTGTGTGTGTGTGTGTTGTTCAAATAGTTTAATATCCTAATTTTTCTTGATTTTTAAAATAAGATTAAAATATTAAAAGCATATTTTATTTATTTACCTACCCATCAAAAATAGGATACTGACCCTGGAAAAACTGAAAAGAATTAAAATAACTCTGAAGCCCAAAGGCTTTGATATGTTGGGGATTTATTTTTGTCTTGGTTTTACTTTGTTTTATTTCTTTTACCATTGCTTACCTGTGAAGATTTGGCAAGCTTCTGGGCATATTCCTTCTCAATCTGCTTCAGCCTGCTGTTGGCCTGAAAAACACACGTACATGAACACACACAGGGTGACCTGTGAGCTTGGTATCTCTTCCACATGCCTATCACCAGGCAGCTGGGACGCCCGCCAGCTGCACCGCCCTTCTGGGGTAGCCAGAGAACCACAGGGCTTGTCTTTGATCTGATGCCAACTATTCATCACTTAAAAAGAAAAAAATCTCTCCTGCCAATTATTAGACAAACACAAGACTTCTGTGGATAGAAAGAGAAAGGCAGAAGAGAAGCAGAAATAGAAACAGTCACAGCAGGTAAAGGAAGGGGAAGAAAGAAGAAATAGAGAGGTGGTAAAACTTAGAGAAAGAGAGGGCAGGAGATTAGAGGAGCAGGAGGAAAAGAAGGTGGTAAACTTAATATTCTTTCACTTTCATTTAAAAATACAAGAAGTAGGTGCTTCTGGATAAAGGCAGATACGAGAATTTTAGTCACTCAGCAGAGCTGAGCTCTCAGTTTGCCTAACATGGCCATTTTCTGAAGTAGCAAATATAATGGAAATCAAGCAATTTTATGTCCCGGAACAGGGGTAACCTTTCCCAAATGAGTCTATCTTGCTTGGAACTTGATTATTTCCTGCCACTCAAGTTGTGGTCTTTCAGATGTGACCTGCTTTCTGCTCTATGGAGGTGCCTGGCTCTTAACTCTCCCCTCAGTGCACAGAAAGGGCACAGCAACCTGAGCTGGAGGGGGCCTTTTCCTGCCAATCATGTGGGTTTATGTCCTTCAGTTCTGGGAAGTTTGGCCACTGGTCTCATGAGTGCCTCTCATCCGTCTTCCCTGACTCCTCTGATGGTGGTGCTTTTCAGTCATCTTTTCATCATCTTTTTTATTGTCTATTTTTCATTCTTTTGTCATTTTTGTTCCCTCTAGGGTTTCCTTAGTGTTTTTTTTTTTTTTTTTTTTTTTTTTTTTTTTTTTTTTTTTTTTTTTTTGGTACCAGGGATCAAACTCAGGTCCTTGCGCTTGCAAGAGAGGACACCGAACCACTGAGCTAGATCCCCAGCCCCTCCTTAGCTTTTACTTTAAAACCTTTTACTGGATTTAAAAAAAAATTCTGCCCCCATATTCATAATATCTAAAGATTACTTTTTTGTTTTCTGAATAACATCACACGCGCGCACACACACACACACCCCGCTATTTTTACAAATGGAAGAAAACAAAACACTGAAGTACAGAAAGGTTATGTAACCTGCCAGCATCACACAGCTTGGTGACGGAACCAGGAATGCTATCTCCCACACGGTCTGGCTTCGGCACAGGGTTCCTTCAGCTAGTGCACAGTGCAGAATGAATATGTTTTCTTCCACCTGAAAGGCCTCTTTTTCAGTACTGGGGATCAAACTCAGGGATTTCACACTGTCACACTGTGGTTCATCCTCAACCCTTTTTTAACATATTGTGTTGAAATAAGGTCTTGCCAAGTTACTAAATCATCTAGGGTAGGCTTGAATTTGAGATCTATCTGCTTCAGCCTTCTAGAGTGTTGGGATTATAGGTGTGTGCCATCATGCCTGGCCCTTCTGAGGTTATTAATTTCATGTAATTTTTTTCTGCTTACTAGAGTGTGTTTCTTCTGTTCCCTTTATTTTTGTCAGCCTGTTTTGGTTTTTGTCTTTAACTTTAGATACTTTTCTTAAATTAGTGATCATTTTGTTGTTCTTTCTTGTTCAAAGGTAGTCCTTCTAAAGCTGACTAGAAGGTGCTTGGATGTGTGCAGGCTTGTGGACGCAGGATGTCCCCACAGGGTGTCACAAAGGGGCTCGTGCTCTCCTACGCCAGGTCCTGACTGGACTTTCTTCTTGGGCCAATTTGCCCAAAGCCGTTTCTTCTAGTGTACTGCCTGGTGGCAAAGGTCTGGCTCCAACGTTCCAGAAGGTGCCTAGCTGTTCAGGCTGCCACAAGCCCGTGTTCAGTTTTGTCCTCAGTGATTCCCAAGTCCCTTCTCTCCACCCACTTCCCCAGAGGGCGAACTGGGGGCAAAGGTAGGGGCAGACTTTGGATCAGTTATACCCTGTGACTGCTCCTTACACAGACTTCTAACCCCAACCTCCAGTTCTCCACCCCGTCCTTTCTATTCCTGAAGACTTCCCCAAGGTGGGCTGGAAAGATCTTCAAGTTCTAACAGGCATCCTGTAAGGCCCTGTTTCTTGAGAAAATGTTTGCATTTTCAAAGGCTCGATTCTGCTGTCCATTTCAGCTCAAGATTCTTCTCGAGGTCAAAAAGGCTGGTGATTTTGTATGTGTACTATTCTCTCCCTTCTTGTTTTCTGTGTGAAAATTAAACTATAAAATATTGTTATCTGGGTCCCATCTTGAGGTTCTGATACCGTTCATCTAAGGTACAGCCCAGGCACTACAGTTTTAAAAATCTTGGCAGCTGTTTCTAATGTTTACCCAAGGTTAAAAATCATTTTTCATGTAATTTTCAATTTGATTTCTTCCACTTTAATGGGACTTCCTCAGGGAGCAGGGATAAATAGGCAAGTTCTGTCCACTCTGTTAAACTGGCAGAAAATGCTTTCTTCATTTGGACAGCACCATGGGATGAGGAAGCAGCCCTTTTGGGCTGTCTGCATGGCAGCACTAAGGCTGCACTGGTAATTGCTGGGTAACTTGTCTGTCTCATTCACTAGACTAAGATCCTAGAAGGCAGTGGTGGCTCCTAACAGAGTTCTTGTTGCATGAATGTTTGCCTAATGAGAGAAATGATACTGTACAGCCCATTTCCTTTTCCACCACCTGAACCCATCCCCCTGAAGTATTCCTTTCATAAACATAAGCTTCATGAATTTAAATTCAAAATCAGCTCTTTAGAATTTGTCTGTAAACCTCTGTATCTATAATCTCAATGAACACAGAGTAGTTTTGCTTTTTCCAGAATAAAGAGGAATGTAACTGTCTGACCCTATTCCAAGTAAGCTTTCTGACCCTATTCCAGCTCTTTGACTAATAAAGTCACTTTCCATTATAACATTAGGGCCACTCTCAGTCTTTTGAGGTTTTCTGGTCTTGGTTCACATTCTGTCAATGTTATTTATCACAAAACGCTTGATGAAGTATGTGTTGCTTTTAAAATAAATACAGATCTCTTACCATGTGCCAAGCACTCTTCTAAGTGCTTCAAAAATATTTACCTACTAGAAAATATAAAAATTAATTATAATGTCATAAAGATGAAGTTAGTTTTCCCTAAATATATTTGCATCAGAGATGATGGTTAGTGCAGGGAGGCCCGTGTCTCAGATGCAGCTACTCTGCAAGAGCTGTGGTAGCCAGCACTGGAATCTCACAAACCTAACCAGCTCCTTTACAGCTAAATATCCAACCCACTTGTCCACTCTTAAATGATAGTACTGAGCAAAACACACTAGGGTCTCCCTTCTAGCCAAGAGAGCGAAAAGATAATTTTCAAAAATAGTATTTTAGACAGTATGAGTGCCATAAAGATAAAACAGGGAAAGGAGGTAGACAGTAATGAAAAGTGGAAAGTAGATATTTTATAATTTTCAAGACACACAAGTTCTAGAAGGTCTCCATGAGAGGGTGATGCATGAACAAAGACCTGCAGAAGATGAGAAAGGTATGCACTCCAGGGAGAATACATTCCAGCTAGAAGAGTTGGTGCAAAAGCCTGGAGGAAGAGCCATGTCTGATAGGTAAAAGGCACCGTGCAGAGGCCAGTGTGGTTGGATCAGTAAATAATGACTCCCTCAGACAAGACAGTCCAAGGAAGGACCCAGTTCTCACAGAGGACTCTGCTTGATAGGAAGGAATCTGGTTTTTAATGTGAGTAAAATGGGGAGGCAATGAAGGATTTTCATTATAGGAGAAACACATAATTTGACTTAGGTACTGTTAAGAACATTCTAGCTTTTGTTTTGGGTACGACTCAGGAAAAGAAGACAGTTAAGAGGGTACTGTAAATAACCCAGGATGCACAGAGGAGGTGGTGAGAACTGCTCAGATTCTGAGAAAAACTTGAAAGCAGAACCAACTGGATGTGTTGCATAACAGGAAGATATGCATTAAGAATGACTTCAAGATTTTTGTACTAAGCAGCTAGAAAATATGAGCTTGTCATTAGCTGACATAGGAAAACTATTGGTGGAATATGTCTTGGGAGGAAGATCAAATGATCATTTTTGGATATATTATTATATATTGGACATCCACTGTTAAGGTATTTGAGTATCAAAGTATTGGGTTCATGGGAGAAATGTAGGTTAGAAGTATAAATTTAGAGGCCACCAGTATATATGCAATGTATGAAACCATGCTACCACCTGAGATTTGAGACATTAAGTATACAACAAAAGAAGCTTAGGTATACTAAGACTCTGGCCTGCAGATGTTAGGCCCACAGATGTTTCCCTTCTTAGGTTGGGGTAAGAAGAAGCAAAGTAGACAGAAGTAACAGCCAGAGAGATTAGAGTATGACATAGAGTCCTCAAGCCATGTCAAGGAATGTGCCAGGGACCAGTGAACTGTGCCAGACACTACAGAGTGGTCACGGAAAGACAGACTAAAAATGACCACACAGATTTGGGAACAGGATGACATAGATAAAATAAATTCTGATGTACTAGGAAGGATGAAGGTTGGATTGGGGTGGGGGTTCAAGACAGGAAGAGAAAGGGAGCTCTAGAATAGAATACAGTACAAATAATTTGTTCAAAATTCTGTCAGGAAGGGAAGGAGAGTATGGGCTGGGGTTGCAGGGGAAAAGGGTAAATAGAGAGCTGATTTGCTTTGTTGTGTGTTTTGTTTTTGTTTTTTCAGTAAGATGAGAGAACTAATAGCATGTCCTTAGGTTCATGGGAAGAATCTAACAGTAGAGAAATAAAAATAATGCCAGAGATTTACTGAAGACATGCAGAAGAGATGTGTCATGTAGTTACTGCCCCCATTCTTAGGTTGGAGCCCCAACCTTCAATGTGACCATGTGAAGACAGAGCCTTGATAGATGTAATTAAGGTTAA